TGTCTTCAAAAATGTATGAGCATATATTGACAGAAATTATTTTATAATATTTTGGCAGGTCTCCTCTACATGACTAATTTTGAAATTATTTTCAAAATAGTCCCTTACATATGTATGATTTCACTTAACTCGGATTACTTTCACACTTTTGACAATAAACGTGTATACTGTATACTTTCCCACATTGCATACATAATCTTGGGCCATAGTATGACATCACTCAGAAGGTTAGCAGCTATCAGCTGAACTTTTACCAAATCTTCCTTACACGCAGTTACTCCCCAATGTGAGAGGAATCTTATGTTTTCAAAAGTGAAGCACTGCAGCAAATCTTTGCCACACTGCCTACATATATATGATATCTTCCTTGTATGCAAAATTTCCCTATGGCATTTTTGTGTGCTATGTATGATCTACCATTGTTCAATTGCATAGAATTACTACACAGAGGGAGTTCTTAAATGTAGTGGCAATCTCAATGGTATGGAAAGTCTTTCTATATTCCTTATGTTCATAGGATTTTTTCCCAGTGTGATATATTTGATGTTATAAAGTGAGAATGTATAAACAAATCCATTTACTCATTTCTCAGATAGATAGGGATTTTTTTATAGAGTGAATTTTTTTCTATACAAAAAAGCTACTATTATAGCTAAAATACAACACAAATTACTTACATCAATGGAAAGGGTTCATTTTCAGCACTTCTGTATACTGAATGTTTTGGTATATTGGTTGTACCATAGATGTTCTATAGGTTGTGAGTTCTTTCATGAGTAATAAGGTGACTGCTTTGACAGAAAGATTTCCCACATTGCTTACATACAAAGGGTTTCTCCCCAGTGTGTATTCTGTAATGTGATTTACAAGCAGAGGATGTACTGAATGCTTTCCCACATTTGTTGCATGCAAAGGGTTTCTCCCCAGTGTGAATTCTTTCATGTTTAATAAGGTCACTGTTTTGACTGAAAGATTTCCCACATTGTTTACATGCAAAGGGTTTCTCCCCAGTGTGAATTCTATCATGTGCTTTACAAGCACAGGCTGTACTGAATGCTTTCCCACATTTGTTGCATGCAAAGGGTTTCTCCCCAGTGTGAATTCTTTCATGTTTAATAAGGTCACTATTTTGAATGAAAGATTTCCCACATTTGTTGCATGCAAAGGGTTTCTCCTCAGTGTGAATTCTTTCATGTCTAAGAAGGTTAAACTTTTGATTGAAAGATTTCCCACATTGCTTACATACAAAGGATTTCTCCCCAGTGTGAATTCTATCATGTACTTTACAAGCAGAGGCTGTACTGAATGCTTTCCCACATTTGTTGCATGTAAAGGGTTTCTCCCCAGTGTGAATTCTTTCATGTTTAATAAGGTCACTGTTGTGACTGAAAGATTTCCCGCATTGTTTATATTCAAAGGGTTTCTCCCCAGTGTGAATTCTATCATGTGCTTTACAAGCATAGGCTGTACTGAATGCTTTCCCACATTTGTTGCATGCAAAGGGTTTCTCCCCAGTGTGAACTCTTTCATGCATAAGAAGGCTAGGCTTTTGATTGAAAGATTTCCTACATTTGTTACATGCAAAGGGTTTCTCCCCAGTGTGAATTCTATCATGTGCTTTACAAGCAGAGGATGTACTGAATGCTTTCCCGCATTTGTTGCATACATAGGCTTTATCCCCTGTGTGAATTCTTTCATGTCTAATAAGGTTAGTCTTTTTATTGAAAGATTTCCCACAATGCTTACATACAAAGGGTTTCTCCTCAGAGTGAATTCTATCATGTACTTTACAAGCAAATGATGTACTGAATGCTTTCCCACATTTGTTGCATGCAAAGGGTTTCTCCCCAGTGTGAATTCTTTCATGTTTAATAAGGTCACTGTTTTTACTGAAAGATTTCCCACATTGTTTACATGCAAAGGGTTTCTCCCCAGTGTGAATTCTATCATGTGCTTTACAAGCATAGGCTGTACTGAATGCTTTCCCACATTTGTTGCATGCAAAGGGTTTCTCCCCAGTGTGAATTCTTTCATGTATAAGAAGGCTAGGCTTTTGATTGAAAGATTTCCCACATTTGTTACATGCAAACGGTTTCTCCCCAGAGTGAATTCTATCATGTGCTTTACAAGCAGAGGATGTACTGAATGCTTTCCCGCATTTGTTGCATACATAGGCTTTATCCCCTGTGTGAATTCTTTCATGTCTAAGAAGGTTAGACTTTTGATTGAAAGATTTCACACATTGCTTACATACAAAGGATTTCTCCCCAGTGTGAATTCTATCATGTACTTTACAAGCAGAGGCTGTACTGAATGCTTTCCCACATTTGTTGCATGCAAAGGATTTCTCCCCAGTGTGAATGTTTTTATTACTTTGACAACCACTGAGTTTACTGAATGCTGTCCCACATTGCTTGCATTCATATGGTTGCTTTCCAGTGTGAAGTTTCTTATGTTTTTTAAAGAAATTACTGTGAGATAATGCTTTTGCACATTTTTCAATTATATGATATTTCTCTCTACCATATTTTCTAACAGGTTTTTCAATATTGGATGAAGAAATAGAAATATTCTCATAGTGTTTTTGAACATAGGAGTTTCCCAAATTGCGGTTTGTCTTGGGGGTTTGCACACAGTTAGTTGTTGTATGGGCTTTCACACTTTTGTTACCTACAAAAATTTTCTGCCCGGAGCTAATTTTTTCACTAAGATCAGATCTCTCCTCCTCATTTTTTCCGTATTCACTGGGTCTCTCTACAGTGTTCCTCATTTCATGCTTCTGAAAGGACTGGAAATCACTGCAGGTCTCTACATCTTCATTACATTTATATGGCTGCCCTTCATTTCTCAAATAATTGTCTTCATCACATCTGTGCAGAAATAAAAAAGATATCAATCACAATGGAAAAGGCTCCACATTAGCAATATTTTTTATGATGACAAATTTAGTTTGATTCCTGCTAAGTAATTCTGATGGTTAACTGACTCACTGCCCTGCAGGACTGCTTTCAAAATACTATCCATTCTAAAAATTGTTACAAAAAAAAAAAGTACCAGGGATTGAACTCACAACTGCATGCTTGCAAGGCAGGCACTTATGCCCTAAGTGAAATCCTCTGCTCCATTTAGGCAATTTTAAATTGTTATGTGATTCTAATACTTAATATCATTTTAGGAGACTGGTACAAATGAATAGCAAACATTGATCATTTTTTGTAGCTCTTCGTGTCTTAACTCCCCTTTGTCTATTTAGCCTGTTGATCTTTCTCATCTACAGAACATAAGTATTGCTGTTCATATATTCTCTCTCTTTACTTTCACTTCTCAAATAAGTTTTTAATTTCTCATTTAAGAAAAAACCTGAGTTGTGGCTAGGGATTTAGCTCAGAAGCATAAGCACCAGCCTGGCAAGCATGAGATTGTGAGTTCATTCCTCAGTACCAAAAGAGAGAGATAGATAGAGAGAGAGAGAGAGAGAGAGAGAGAGAGAGAGAGAAGAAAACCTGTAATATTTCCATTTCTATGTCTGAATTACTTCACTTAAGGTCCAATACTTCTTGTTTCTTGGGAAATGATATCATGGTTCCCTGTATAACTTTTTTTCAACGTGGAGTTAAACACAGGTCATAGAATGAACTACATTTGCTGACCTATTATTTGTTTGGTTGAGAGAGATTTTTATTGGCCATCAACTTGTCCAAGCTGAACTTCAAGTTATCATCCTGCAGATTCAGCTTCCCCAGCTGCTTGGGGATTGCAGGAATGCACCACAATGTTGAGCTGACTCCAAATTTTCTTTACCTTGGCATGCAGTGATGGGCATCTGGGCTCTTCTCAATGCTTAGCTACTGTGAGTTGATTCTTGTATTAGATATTGTAAATGCCTTTTCATGTGCTTTAACAAACAACACACTCATGGTTCACTAACATTTGATGATTTTAATGTATTTGATAATATACTGAGAGAATCATTACACATAATGACGCAGTATGACCCACTCAACAGTCAGGAGGGAGAGGCAGGAGGATTGCTCTGAGTTTCAGGCCATTATGGGCTTCACAGTAAGTTCAAAGTCAACCTGAACTACAGTATAAAATCATGGCTCAAAAGATTTAAAAAAGGATATCATTGTGGATGTATATGTGAAACAATATGAAACATGTTGTTTTAATTTTCAGACTACTGAATAGTTTTTACCATGTTTGTATTTTATGTATCCATCAGCAATGTATGAGGAATTTTAAACCTTAACAGCTCAATATTTTATGGGATATTTTCATAGTACTTATTGTAAAAGTAGAATTCATTTTCATTTTGAAAGCTGATGCTATGTGAATATAATTCTAGATCATGAAAGTCTCAGTATTCACATGTATATATAAATGGTATTTTGAAGATGGGTTTTTATCAACTTTCACAATTTGTTCATTTCCTACATATCAAAATACAATATTTAAATTTATTATCATACATTTCTATGATGTTGATCATGAAGGCAATTTTTAAACTGATACATTAGATAGTGTTATTTACTACATGTATTAGAATTACCTCTGATTCTTATATTTCAATATGTTTCTATGGATTCCCAGATAATACAAAATAAAATCAAGTATATCTCTTGGTATTTTTTGAGGTTAAATAAGGTATAACATGATCTCATTTCTTCAGGTTCCCTTTGTTTTAATATTTATGCTCACACACTGACAATTAAGTAATGTTCTCTTTCTCTTATGTGTTTCAGTCACCTTATATTACTTGAGCAATTTTTGTCCTCTTCCTTAATTTGCTGATTATTCCATATTTTTCCTGTAATATGGACATAGAAATAAAATACACTTATTATAACTGTACATTAAAATATCTCTGATTTGATTTATACTCATAGTATAGTATAATCAGACTTGAGATATACAAGCAAATGTTATTATTATCAAATATATTAAACTGTATCAATGAGCAATAATTAATGCTGTTAGTATAAACAAACATGTCATCCTTACCTGTTGCAGTAATATTCATATATGTTTCCCACATCACTCCTCTGTAGAGCTTCTTTTGGGATGGAGTCAGCAAATCCCACTCTTCTGGAGTGAACTTCACAGCTACATCCTCAAAGGTCACTGTCTCCTAAATAATAACATGGGTCCTGAAGTTCAGGGATACATAACCTGATATACCTCAGTACCTGTAATAAGTAGTCTAACTGAAATTCATTCTTTCAAGTATTAACTTCATGTTGTGGTCATAAAAACTCAAGTACATTCAAATATAGTCACCCAGTAACACTGATGCTAGACTATGACACACTGCTAAAGCAATCACAGAACTGTAGCATGGTTTGTCCCGCAGGGCCACCAATAGCGTAGTTTTTCACTTACTTCAAAGCAGAGCTCAAGAGTTAGGATACAAACCACCATTAACAAAATATTGGTTATTCATAACATGGAGTTTGTCTTTCTTATCAACAGCATCATGGTCTTGAATCTAGATTTATAGATAAATATTTAGTTGAATATGAAAAGAGATTTCTGAGTGATTAAAATTTAATGACAGAAAAGTTTTATTTGACCATTCTATAGACAAGGAAATAAGGGAAAATGTAGTTATAAATCTATAGCTCAGGGATTCTAAATTATCTCCTTGTAATTATATACGGGAAATTCCACTAGGGTTCAAAGGAAGATAATGTGGGGAAAAAAACATATATGAATTGCTTGAACTAGAGTGAAAATTGCAGAATAGCAAAGTAACTGGTCACTAAATACAGAAAGAAGAGTTCAGTACAGTGGAGTAGTATATGCTTGTACTCTCAGAACTTGAAATCATGATGTAAGAGGATTACCAGAAATTTCATGCTTGCCATGCATACAGTGTCCAACCTGGGCTTTGTAACAAGGACAGTTCAGACTACAAAGTGAGGCCATTCATTAAACCCTGTACCAAATGAAAATTAAAATTAATTCACAGTCATTGACAAATCACAACTTTGCACCCAGGATATATCTCAATGGTACAAGCACCTATATGACATTTGCAAGGGCCTGAATACAATTTCCAGTACCAAAAAGAGAATTCAAGTGCACCTTTGATTAGTAACAACAACTGTACATGTATGTTAGAGAAAAAACCTGCAAACATTGAATATTTGTGTGCAAGGAAACATTTTGCATAATAAACAGGAAAACATTTGACATTCAACATTCATATCAGTGGACAAATGGATCTCAGGAAAGGAAAACAACCTTCAATTCATTCACATGGAATATTATGTCACAACTCAGCTGGCATTGTGCTTCTAAGCAAGAAAGCACAATATGTTTCATTTACATTCAGAAAGAAGCAGGTATGTCCCTAGAAATCTGGCCTGCACACTATCCTTGCCTATGTGCATTGGTGAACAATTGAAATGGGAAAGAGAAACATGAATTACTGTGAAATTTATACTGAAAAATAGTTAGTGCAAAACTCTTCTGAAGAAAATCAAGCAGCCATGAAAATTAGAAGTTGAAATCTATGAAAATTGGAATTAAACAAGAAAACATTTATTGGGAACACAATACAAAGATTTTACATAGAGTTAAGATCAATGAGCACAAATCTAAAAATAAACAAAATTTATGTTTTGTTTATGCAGAAATAATGAATAGAAAAGAAAATCTAAATGACATTTGTGAAAATAACCAAACAATATTGAAGTGTGGAAGAAAAAATAATTAGATTTATTCTTAAATTCCACAAACTCCTTTTCTATGGAGTTTATGAAAATCTACACACAAGTGAATTCCTTCTAACGTGTACAAAATATTTTGTTCTATGATTCCTTGAAATACACGTGATTCTTTTCAAATGAAATTACAGACTCAGAAACTGTGACCAAGAGAATAAATGAGAATGTACTTTGGTTTTGATTCACCTATCAGCCCTTGTGAATGACTGTGAGAAATTATTGAATTGATAAATACCACAAAATCTCACAATATATTTCTATGTGCAATTTCAATGGTAGTTTCTAAAAACTTAAAGGGAATAAGTTAAAAATATAATTTCCATAAAAGAGCACATTGTAAACTTTGGAATAATTCCAAAGAATTGTCATCAATCATGCAATAATACTTTCTGACCTGAATGTATTTTTCACACAGTTACCTTCATTTCTTGCTTAAGATCCTTTAGTGAAACTTTCTGAATACACCTGTGACTCTTTCACTGTTCTCATTAAATCTATACACAAAAGCTTTGAGAATAAGATTTTCTTTAAATGATTAAAACAATAAATTGCAATACAGGTACTAACTGATTTGTATGTGTTTATGTGTCTTGAGATATGAAATGACTGGACAGTTTCTATATTAGATAGTGATAAACAAACTACAGTTACAAATACCATTGTAACAAATTCAGTGCTAACAGTTGTGAAATTTGAAGTTCACCAAAAGGAAAATAGGTCAGGAGAGGAGACATTATCAGGAGAACAGGTCAGATTAAAAGGGACTGAGAAAACAGGTGTCAGAGCTGATTAATAGCTAGACAACTAGATAATCTGCAAATACTCTCATGATCCGGATAGCAGTGTTTATTGTGTGCACACTGATACGATAGGTTAAATAGTAAGCTATGCAAAAAGACATACCTCAATGTCATTGATTCAACAAAACCTATGGACACTACATGAGCTTGATTATATTCCACATGTACAATCAGCGGTTATTTAGAAACAAATATCATTCCTTAATATATGGCCCATATAAAGAGCAATCAACTATATAAACAGAAACAGAATTGGAAGAGAAAAATCAATCATTTACAAGTATATATTTAAGAGTTCAAAACATCTTCATCAGTGACTGACAGCTCAAGAAGGCAGAGCAATCTTTAAGGTCACACATAAATTCATCAAAATAACAGTTCAAAGCAATATAATAGATGGATTCTATTGATGGGTTTATCACATAAAAACATAGCACACTGTCCTCACAGCAAGCCAAGAAGTATTCACACATGTAACCCAGGTTCAACACAGCAATACAGAATGTAACATAGTCAGTGGAGTGGAAATCATGCAAAGCAGGCTCTTACACAATACTGGAATAAAATTATAAATGAAAAGCAGAAAAAATGAAGAATGCTCTTAGAATGAGAGATCAAATCACAAATTTTAAATAACATTTCAAAAAACCTTAAATAATTAAGGATTTCACTATCCATGTCAATGAACGCACATTTAGAATTATTTCAGTTCCTCAAACTCAGTGCCTCAAAACATATTAAAAACAGGGAATGCTGGGACTGGAAAAGAACATAGACTTCAATTGTAGAACGTTAGAGAACACAGTGCTGAGGGAAGCTCAACAGAGCAGCTGTGAGCTGAGGGCATGGCATCACTCTGTATGTCAGTCTTTTGGAAATCTGAGACTAGGGCAGAGCACATAACAGGCCCATCCCTGAGCCTCAGGAAGCTAAGTTTCCAGAGAGAACTAGAGAAAATTGCTGCAATATAAAAATGTTAACCACCCCACAAGAAATAGGATATTTCATTGCTCTATACTTGTGCAGATTGCAAAGAACAATAGAGAAGAAACTCTTAAAAATATTAGAGGCATTACTTAGTAATTAGTGTAACTAAATACATAAATATCTGGTGGAAAATCAGACATTGATGTCAGTGGACACAGACAAGACACAAGATGAAAAAATTAGCAGAGTAAGTTGGAATGCATACAAACATATTCACTTTCAAATAACAGTCTATATGGTGAAAAAATTAAATTTTCAACAAAAATTTAATAGAATTTATAAGATAATGTACCACAGACAATATCTCTGGATTGAAATAGAGATATGTGCCATGTAAATATGTAACAGGTATCAACAACTGATTTGGTTTGCAGCTGCCATTGAACTGCAGCCCAGTCATGCCCACTTGCTTTGAAGCCAACTGAGTGTGGAAGCCAACCTCCAAAAACTGGATTGAACTCACAACCTTGTGCTGGCCAGGAAGGCACATATGCTACTGAGCTAAAACACTGGGCAGAAGAAACTTGAATGTACTCACCAAGAAAAAATGTTGGACTTCCAGGAGAACATGGTAGATAGAGAGCAGCAGCTTCAGAGGCTCTCTGAGAAACCACACTTAAAATCCAGGAATGATGCCAGGCGAGAAATCCTAATCAAGGGGAGATATACTTTGCCAACACAGGAATGAACTAAATTAAGAGAAACCAACTGGAAAAATAATCCCGGTGATATAACAGGAAAAGATAATGTCTCAGCACTGAAGCTGGACCCTGTGCCACTGGAAGATGTGATTTGAATTTCCTGCAGCTGCTGCTGTGTCCCAATTGGCATGGCAAGGAGAGAGGCACAAAAGCTCTCAGAGTGGGCAGCAGTGAATGGAGTTGAAAGCAGGACTGGCAGGGAGCCCTGCATTGACCTGCAGTGAGTGAGAGGAATGGGAATGCTTCCATAGAGTAGGAGGCTTCAGCAAAGCACTTACTGGGACCGGGCAGACTAGCCAGAACAGGTTGTTGCAGTGACTTCAGTCACATATTGTTGGGAGCCGCAGCCCCGAGCCCGGTCGCCTCACTTGGCGGACGTGAGGCCTGTAGTAAAGAGTGAAGCCTGAGGTAGATTACCCCTCCCATCGAGCACGTTAGTTTCCTGCTTACCGCGTAAACAACCCGCTCAACAATATAGTCTGCCTGGCAACTGATGATGTTAGCCAATCAGCTTGCCTTGTTTACTTTAACATGATTGGACACTGTATCCGTATATATACCGGTGCCACCCCTGGGGGGAAGTAGAAGCCCGGTAGAAGCCCGGAAGTAGAAGCCCAAAAGGAGCCGCGGGGAGCGGACCAGAGGAGGCTTCAGCTGGGAGCGGTCCCAGGGCAGGCTGTACGGAGAAGGAAAATAAAAAAAAAGGTTGTCCACTGCCAGACTTTGTCGTGTGTCCTTCCTGCCGGCCGGGAGCGGACATCGACATTTGGTGGTCCGCACGGGGACTGATCACCCCCGAGACGTGGAAGTGGACAACGCTCCAGTACAGAGCTGCGAGACAGGTGAGTTGGGGATAAGCCTGGGCTCTGGGTGGCGCGCACCTACAGGGCTTTTAGACTCCCCTCAGGCTCACGCGTAAGTGGCGGATTCCTTGGGCCTCACGCGGTGAGTAACATATTAAAAAATGGGAAACATGCTAGGTAGCAACACTAAGAGCGAGGGTGGTTGTGGAGAAAGCTCTCAAGAGCTTACAAAAGTACGCAGGGTATCTGAGCAGGCCCAGTCAGGGAGCTCCCGAGAGGGGCCTGTCAAGGGGAACAAAGATGCTAAGGAGAAGGACGGGGCTCTAGCCTCGGAGTCGTCTGACTCCGAGGACGAGGGAAAGTTGAATGGCAAGGAGGCCAAAGAGACCAGCTGTCAGGAGCCCAAGTCGCTCGATAAGGAGTCACAGGGTTCTTTTCCAGCGTTGCGCCGCGAATTGCGCTCTGCTCAACCTGGTCTGCGGAGGAGTGGGGAGCTCCTGAGCGCTCCCCGGCGCGAGAGGGAGGCGATCCCTCGCCACGAGGCGGCCGCCTGGGAGCTCTCTCCCCTTTCGCCAGAACAGGAAGTGATGCACGGGCCCCCATTTTCCGCCCAATCACGGCCGCCGTCTTATGCTCCGCCGCCGGCGGGTCGGTATTTTTACAGGAGGCTTTGGCAGGGGGGACGCTTGTCTCATGAGGTACATCCACCTGGGATAGATAGTGGCCCCTACGGGATATTTCCTGTACAAGTAGCTATGGGCCAGGGACGCAATGTATGGGAGCCTTTTGAGATAAAGCAGATTAGAGAACTTAAAAATGCAGTTACAACCTTTGGGCCGACTGCGCCTTACACCATTGCCATGCTGGAGAATCTGTCTTCTGGGCCCCTCACCAGGGCGGACTGGATTCAGCTGGCAAAGGCGTGTCTGCCCTCGGGTAGTTACCTGGATTGGCAAGCCTGGTATGCAGAGTTCTCTGCAGAACAGGCTGAGAGAAACGCCAGTCGGGGAAACCGGGGGTGAAACAAGAAAATGCTTATGGGAGAAGGTCGGCACGCTGATGATCAGACTCAGTTCCCCGGCGCTGTCTATGAACAAATCAATGCCATAGGGCTCCGCGCCTGGAAGCAGGTAAGTGGTGCCGGAACAGCCTCCTTGTGTCTTTCAAAAATAATTCAGGGTACCACAGAGCCATTTGTTGACTTTGTGGCCCGAATGCAAGATGCTGCCGATAAGATATTTTCTGATCCGGGAGTGGCTCGACCACTGGTAAGGCAGCTGACTTTTGAGCAATGTACAAAGGAGTGCAAGGCAGCGATAGCTCCTCATAAGAACAAGGACCTCAACGCCTGGATTAGGATATGCAGAGAGATAGGGGGGCCGCTCTCCAACTCGGGAGTGGCTGCTCTCCTGGCCGCGGCTGTACAGCAGAGGGGACCTCGCGGGTTAGAAGGGGAATGTAAGGCTAAAGGGTGTTTTGCCTGCGGGGAGCCAGGACACATTAAACGTCATTGCCCAAACAATGCAGATGCTAGGCCTCGCCCTAGGAATGAAGAACCATATGTTTGTGGGCGATGCAAGAGGGGATCACACAAAGCTGAGGAGTGTAGGTCGGTCTTTGATGCTCAGGGCAACCGTATTTGTGGACGAGATGCTAGAGGGCCAAAAAACGGCCAGAGGGGGCCCCCTTCACAGGCGGGCACCCGCCCCAGAGACAGGACTTGGTCGAGGCCCTGAGACAAGCTAATCTGCATGTTGCCCCCGACAAGATTCAGGGAGGAGAAATGGTGACCTACTTAGGCGCGAGAATCTCCCCTATGCTAGTCTCTCCACAGAAGGTCACCATTAGGATGGATGGCGTTAGGACCCTAAATGACATGCAAAAGCTATTGGGAGACATTAATTGGATTAGGCCATATTTACATATACCAAATTCAGATCTCAAACCCCTGTTCGACCTTCTGAAGGGAGACCCAGATATAGCCTCCCACAGGAGGCTCACTCCTGAGGCAAGAGCTGCCTTACAGAGAGTAAAAAAGGCCTTAGGTGGGGCTACCTTACACAGAATTAAACCAGGGCGACCTTTTGATGTCTGTTTGCTACAGACTAGTCTACAGCCCACAGCGGTGATTTGGCAGAAAGGACCATTACTGTGGATACACCCTAAGGTCTCACCTACAAAAGTCATAGAGCATTACCCGGAGACAGTCGCTTCATTGGCCCTTAAAGCACATGATAGAGCTGTCCAACATTTTGGCTCAGGACCACAAGCCATCCGAGTACCCTATACCGCCAGCCAGATCAAGACCCTGGCTGCCTGCATAGATACTTGGGCCATTCTGAGATGTGTTTTCCATGGGGATATAAACAATCAATACCCTAAAGACCCTATCTTGTCATTTGTCACTCAGCACCCTATAATTTTTCCAAAGGTTACTGCCTCTGAGCCATTAGTCCCAGCAACTACAATATATACAGATGGCTCTAAGACGGAGATAGGCGCCTATGTGATCCTAGGCAAGCCCCCGGTTACCATACAATTTGAACCTGATCAGCCTCAGGTGGTGAAACTGCAGATCGTTAAAATGATTCTTGAACGGTTCTCAAAAGCCATTAATATTGTCTCTGATTCTAGGTATGTGGTCAATGCTATGCAAGTGCTTGAGACTGCCGGTTTAATTAGATCCACTTCCACAGTGGCTGGGCTGTTCCTGTCTATCCAGACATTGCTTCAGAACAGACACCATAAGGTCTTCACCACCCACATAAAAACACATACATCCCTGCCAGGGCCCATGGCACAGGGGAATGCGGCTGCTGATACTGCCACTCGCCCGTTATGGATTTTTACCTTACTAACACCAATCGAGCGAGCCCGTGCCTTCCATAATAAGTTTCATGTCAATGCCAGGACACTAGCAAACCATTTCCATGTTTCCAGAGCAGAGATATCGTGCGACTATGTGACTCCTGTGCCACATACAAACCTGCCATACCGATGGGAGTAAACCCTCGAGGTTTGATCCCTGGTGATGTTTGGCAGATGGACATCACACATATACAGGAGTTTGGGACTCTTAAATATGTTCATGTTTCCACAGACACCTGTTCTCACGTCATATTCGCAACAACAGAAACAGGTGAAAAAGTGTCTAATGTGATCAATCATTGCCTGGCGGCTTGGGCCGCATGGGGCAAACCAAAAATATTAAAAACTGATAATGGACCAGCCTATATAGGCAAAGCCTTCAATGAGTTCTACAAAATGATGGAGGTTCAATTAAAACATGGTATCCCATACAATCCCCAAGGTCAAAAAATCATTGAGAGGGCTCATAAAAGCCTCAAAAAAATTTTACAAAAACAAAAAGGGGGAGTAGGCCAAGGCCTGGCCCCAAAGGCACGATTATCCATGGCACTATTCACACACAATTTTTTAAATTTAAATAATGATAATTGCTCCCCAGCCGTGGAGCACTGCAACCCTTCCCCCAACCATAAAGGGTGGGTGAAGTGGAAAGATATCCTGACAGGACAATGGATGGGCCCGGATCCAGTGGTCAGCTGGAACCGAGGCGCGGTTTGTGTTTTCCCACAGGAACCGGGACGAGAACCACTGTGGGTACCGGAGAGACTGACACGGGCGACAAAGCCCTCGACTGAAGATCAGACCTGCCCTACCGGAGATCCATCACAGACCAACCAACAAGATGAATAGAAATAGCGGTAGCCCGAAATGGACAAGAAGATCCTCAGGCATATGCATGGCTTGCTCAATTGGCCCACGACCGAGTCTAGATATGGCGGGCATCCCTCATTCTCCTCCATAAGGTGACAATACACAGCAGGGTAGGTGAGTCAATGACGGGTAAGAGCGTGCCTCCCCGGTGCGACTCAACCTAAGCCAGGCCCTACCCCATTCTGCACGTAAGCCGCTGGACTGTTAGATGCTGCCCAGGTCTAAATTTCTCTCCGAGGGGATTTCTTTACGGAGAGAAAATGAGTGCAAGCTTGTGTGCATCCAGGTTCCGTCCAGTTTGTGCCTGGCCCTAAAAAAAGGACGAGGACCTCAGGGCCTTGGCGGACCATGGGACGGCCGACCAGGGTCCAAGCCAAGGACCTACGGTGGGCCTACACATAGGGCATAAGCCTCTGCACCCAGTCCAGGAAGGGCTACGATGCGCACATTCATAAAAAATAAAAAAGGGGGAGATGTTGGGAGCCGCAGCCCCGAGCCCGGTCGCCTCACTTGGCGGACGTGAGGCCTGTAGTAAAGAGTGAAGCCTGAGGTAGATTACCCCTCCCATCGAGCACGTTAGTTTCCTGCTTACCGCGTAAACAACCCGCTCAACAATATAGTCTGCCTGGCAACTGATGATGTTAGCCAATCAGCTTGCCTTGTTTACTTTAACATGATTGGACACTGTATCCGTATATATACCGGTGCCACCCCTGGGGGGAAGTAGAAGCCCGGTAGAAGCCCGGAAGTAGAAGCCCAAAAGGAGCCGCGGGGAGCGGACCAGAGGAGGCTTCAGCTGGGAGCGGTCCCAGGGCAGGCTGTACGGAGAAGGAAAATAAAAAAAAAGGTTGTCCACTGCCAGACTTTGTCGTGTGTCCTTCCTGCCGGCCGGGAGCGGACATCGACAACATATTCCCCTCTCAAGCAGGATTGTTGGGGAGTGCCTGGCCTGCGTGACGCTGCTGACCAAGACCCAGTAGGCTAGTCCAAACCAGGTCCCATTGTTGGGAGGTGCACCCTAGCAGTGAAGTCTTCAGTAGATTGACCTGGAGGGGAGGGCCCAGCATAGGCTGTCCAGGTATCTAACTCCCTAGTACACTGCAGTGGGTGGAAACATCTATGTGGTGCAATTCAAACAACCTTTTTTTTTTTTATCAGTACCAGGGATCAAACTCATGACTGCCTTCTTACAAGGGCAGATGCTTATGCTTCTGAGCTAGATCCCCAGCCCAACTGTAACTGACAAAGAAAGAACCTGGGCTTCATATATTCAATTGTATAAAAGGAACAAAAAATATGGGAAGAGGGAGCAACAAGAAAGGATCCTCGGCCCCCAACCCTGAGAAACATGCGATATCAGACATGGCACCAATAGACATAAAGCGCTATCTCTGGAGCCTTATAGATGAGTTCAGAAATGAAGTTATTAACAACCTGAAGCAAGATATAAGTAAAATAGTTAGAGAAATGCTAAACACCACCCAAGAAAAAAACAGATGGTGGAATGGAAGATCAGAAAAAAAGGGGAGAATTGTTTGATAGAGAAAATCGAGAAAACATAGAATATGTGAAGTAGGTTCAAAGAGATTACCAGGAAACAAAAAACTATCAAAAACTGGCATAACGGCTTAAAAGAAACTAAGGATAGATTATATGAACTGGAGGGCAGATTTGTAATAAGGGAGCATGAAATGAAAAACTTCCTAAAAATAACAACAACAACAACAACAACAACAACAACAACAAAAAACCAAACAGCAACTATACAAAGGCTAGAAGATGATAAGAGGATCTATAACTTAAGAATTAAGTACATAAAAGAAGAAGTAGGGACACAAACAAATGGACTACAAAAGCTATTCACAGAAATAATCCAAGAGAATTTCCTGAATTTAGCAAATGGTAAAGATACTCAGATGTATGAGGCATACGGGAACCCCAGCCACCTACAACCCAAACAGAGCTACACCCAGGCACATAATAATCAAAATTCCAGAAATCCAATATAAGAACAGAATATTGAAAGCCATCAGACACAAGAAACAGATCACTCACAAGGGAACACCCATCAGAATTATAGCAGACTTCTGGGCATAAACCATCAAATCATGAAGAGCGTGAGGGAAATAATACAAGCTTTGAAAGATAATAACCTCCAGCCAAGATTGATATATCCTGAACAACTGTTCCTAGAGATTGATGGAAAAACAAGGTGCTTCCAGGATAAAGAGGAACTTGGGGAATTTGCAACCACCCATTCAACTTTACAGAGAATATAGCAGGATATTCTAAAAAAGGAAAATGCCAAGATTCCAGAAATAGTGGCAGAGAGGCCACAATGAATGGAGCAGAAAGCAAAATGAAGAAGACAAACTGACAACAAATGACAGAAAAAGAGCTCAACAGAAATGAGGCAGAGAAGATCGGATGGTAGGAACAGTTATTTTGCAGAAAACCAGACATCATAATAGCTAGTACTGATTTAGTATCATCTTGTTTTGAAGTCCCATCAAACTTGTATTCTTCTGTAGCAATCAGGCTTAAAAGGTTGTATCTTAATGGATTTTATTATATATGATAATATAAGTAAAAATGTTTATAGACAAGGAGATTATACAGAAACCATTGTTTATTTTCTGTTAATTGGTTCTAAAAACCCAGTAATAATGTCATTCTCTTGAATGATTTTATAGTGTCTTGATATGTTTGATGCTACAGTATATGAAGTTATACTCAAAGATTTTATGGAAATAGACATTATGGTAACTATTTTTATGTTAGGATATCTTGTGGTGAAACACTATCTTGCTTAAATGGTTATGTTTTGACCTGTGCTGTTCTGTTGTTATGGCCTCTTTTATTTCAATCCCATTTTTAAAAAATTATTTACTTTTTTCTTTTTATCTTTTTAATTAAGGGAAAAATAAATAAAAAAAGCAGGATGCATTATAGTAACCTACTCTGAATTCCTATTAACTTGATTTGAAATTCTGTATTGCCCTCACCATCTTCTTTTGACTGATTTTCCCGTATTCTGCATTGCTTGATATTACCAATTTCGAAAGTATAGGCAATACTGTGAAGAAAATAAGCTTCATTATGACACCCATTCCGGTTGATTATCTTCTTTTAAAGTCCTGTAATGTCCCCAATGCTTTGGTTTTATTCTTTACTGTTTTGTTCAATTTTATTGTAACTGGCAATTCTTCTTAAAATAGCAAGAGGCAGTATGTAACCATTGTTGATCACCTTGTATTTTGTTTTTACGTTATCTGTTATGTCCACCATTTTGATTTGACTGACTCTGTTCTGATATATCACATTTGGTTTTACTCTCTTCAAAATAAGTAATAAGTACTGTTGGAGTAATAATACCCAAAATGTGTCAAAGAAAAGAAAGTGCTCTAAAGGTTATAACTACATATATGTTTAAGTGTATAAGATAACCATATTACTGAGTTTTTTTGGATCACTGAACAAAACTGTTTGCACTCTCACTGTTTGCAAGTCCACATTATATGCTTCAATTTTGTAACTTGAACAACTATTTCTAAGAGGAGAATATGTAATCTATTAACTAGTGATTTCTTACTGTGTATTTTTTAAATTTTGTATACTTGTACACTTTTTATGCTTTTTTTCTTAAATAAAGAAGAAAAACAATTGATTGAAATTATGAGCATTATACCACATGAAATTCATACTGACATAATTTTAAAAATATGAACACCACATATAAAACATATAAAGAGCATAAAGTGCATCATTTAACATGTCTTTTTCAACAATTTCCAGTCACTATCAATGAATTATAATAATTACATGAGCAATGGTGCTTCTTTCTCTGCACACAGAGAAAAAATTCTTGTACAAGTTCAGGAATATACCTGAGCAGCACAGTGGTTACCTGGCAATGTGGCATTGTGAGTTTGATTCCCTGTTTAAAACAAATTGCATGTACATGTGAATGCCCTACTTCAGAGTTCAATTTGTGTTTTTAACAGGCAGCCCCTTTGCAAGTTGTCCTTTATCATATTATTTCACTTTCTGTTATTTAAATTCCTATCACAGTATCCAACTTTTATCATTATATGGTATAGAACCTAATATATTCAAAAGTGTATTCATGTATTGAATGACCCTAGATGTAAGACAGTAGTTTATACATGCCTGGAAGGCTCCTAGTAATTATTTTCATCATAGCCATAGTAATATGTATTTTAAAATTTATTGAGGTTAAAATTTAAAAAAAATTCTCAAGTGATTTTTAAACATCCTAGAAGGACTTAGAATTCTGAGGTTGTGCTCATTGATTCTGGAATTCAACATCATTACAATGATACTCAATGTAGAGGATACTATTTGTCTGCTTGAGGCCTCATATTAAACTCTCATTTTATTTATCATAGTTAGATGTCCCTGGCATTTCCTATGACTCGGTTAAAATATACAACAGTGTCACTACAATGGATTCAAGACTTATGAAAATTAAACCTAGCTGGAGAGCAGAAAGAAGGCTGCATGCAGAGTCCCACCCTCAATTCTGGCCCTGTGAGAAGATAAGTATTCAGCATGTAAATTTTCTGTAATAGACCTTTTCATCTCAAGGGATGAATGCTAATCTCTTGTGGCTTACTAATTTTTCCAAAGTTAATAATCAGCTTTGCATGCCTGATGCCTAGAATTCTACTGTCACATTCTGAGTGTTTGAAAACATTGAGGTTATTAGGAAAGACATGTATGGGTGTGGCTTCATGTTGTAAGGAAACATGACTCAAGAGATTACATCTGCCTCTCAGACTCTCTCTCTCTCCTGAAGAATCTCCACTGGTAGGCTGAAGATTTGATTCTGAGAGCAGGAGCAGCCTGAAGCCAATATTATAAGGAAATGGAAAATACCTATGCTCATGCACAAAAAAGTAAGAGACTTTTTTGCCCCTTATTATTCCAACCAGGTCATATTGGTTGTTGTCAAGCACATACAAAGTGAGTCATTTGCAATGTGCTATAAATCAGCAATTCACAGCGAAGTGTAGAGCATTAAAAATGGACTGGGACATTCATACTATCATGAGACACACCACAATAATTGTTACAAAATATTAGTCTTTATTTTGCTAAAAATTTCCTTCACAGATATTCTTCATATAGTAATTATTTTCTGATTCTCTTAAATCTTTGCAGGAGCTAAAGAAATATTTTACCAGTAAAGCTCTATAACCACTAGAATCACTTCCTCAGAAAGAAAAGATTCACAAAATTATCTGTACATTAGACACAATCATTCCAATATTCTGTGACCTGTCCTACTCAAGAGTACTATGTCACCCTCGTGGATCTAAAGCAGTAATTCACATCATGAAAAATCAAATATGCTCAAATTTTATTTTAAGTGGAATAATTAATCACAAAATACACAATGTACTTTGCCTATTTTTCCTGGGCATTTTCATCTCCCCCATTCTACTTGAGTGAAGGCCCCAGGAGCTGAATCTAGTGATTTTCATGCTCTAGTCACCTTATTGAACAATTTCTGTTTGCTCACACAAATACGCATGTAGTCTGTACTCTAATAAAGTCCTAGATACCTTAGAAACTCCTCTGCCTTTAAAGAGATGAAACTCCTGAAAATACAAATCCTTCTGATGATAAATCACACCACTAAGTTGAAATTCCAAAACTTAAGCTGTGTTACAGGGATGACATTAAAAGATATATTACAGAAACAATTGTAGTGTCTAATTATAAACTTAATACTAACCTCTCAGCTCAGTTTCAGCTAATTTAAAATTTCCTTTTTATCCTCTTGTCTGGCATATATAGGTCAAGCAGTATGACCATATGGGGCCACATCAGTACAACAATAATAAAAAAATCCAGGGAAACATAGACATAAAATACCCAGAGTAGTGTACACATTTCCAAACAGGATTGCAATGCTCTCCTGATAGAGCTGCTCAAGAGAAACAGGTAAATACAGCTATCTAAACTGGAAACAACTGCGTAAGGGAGGCTCCTGTTCTACAGGAGACAATTTGAAGACTGGAAGGAATAACGCAAAAGAGATATTTGAGTTTCATAAGGAAAATGACTTGATCAAACTAAAACAAAGGGACAACAAAATGAATTGAATATGCACAAAAAACAAATCTGTTATTGCAAGCACTAACATTAAGCATTAGATTTTTTTCAAGCTGCTGAATACAAATGCTTTGATCTGTATTTCAGATATAACAGAAAGAGAAATTCATAATACAACACTATACATCACATGTACTTCACTGAATGCAGCACACTGTGAATCACTGTTTGTTTACCCATGGTGTCCTTTTTCAGAGATAAGGGACTCATCTCTGTATCCTCCAACATAAGCATATAAACTTCACATTGAGCCATGTATCACTAGTACAAACTGTGTGTCAACTTAAAAATTCAATATAAGTTTATACTCAAACATTTTCTCTTCATTATCCAAGGGCCTCATGGACTTTAGAAAAGATAATTTGAGATGGGCATAAACTTTCAATATGCATCTCATATTGAAAAAGTTCAGTTATCCAGGGTGGCCTTGATTTTTAAGCACTGCTAACTTTCCCAGGAGGCTGGCATTCAATTGGTGCATCACCATGACTCAGTGTTGTTTATTTTACCCCACCAGTGAATTCTTGGTGAAGTTGGGTGACATGAAAATAAAACACCGGTCCAGGCATGGCAGTGCGTGCCGGAGTCCCTAACATTACAATGGATGATGTATGAGGCTCTGAGCATTAAGTGTGAACTAAAGAAGCAGACCAAATTCCCTCCAGCAAAGCAGAGGCACAATCATCATCATCAAAGTAGAATACTTCTGTCATCCCCTCACTGGCAGTTGAGCTAGTTAGAAATATTACATCCATCAGAAGTCGCTAGGCTCTGGAAGGGCCCCCTACAGAGGACCAGATATCTGGTGACTTTGGAAGAGACACACACCACATGCTGTGCACCAGATCTCAAGATAGATGACAAAGAAATACAACCACACCCTTAAGTATAATACTTAGGGATTAGGTGTGGGTCACCTTGAGAATATTGGAGTTGCCATTCTAACCACCTACAGAAAAAGTGACTGAGCCATAAATAATGCTAGCTTGCTATGTGATTCAATTCCCCATTTGTCTCTGATTTAGTCAATTTTACCTGAGGAAGTAAACCGATTGTTTGACCATAGCTCTTTCCCACCTCATGCCTGCCTGTCTTGTAGGTTATTGATCTGTTTTTAGGCTTGCCTCATCTCATTGTTTTACATTATAAAAATTCCTAGAAAATGCAGAGTGTTCGGCAATCCACATGGGACCCCTTCTCTCTCTCTCACAGAAGCATACTTTCACTCAATAAATAGCTCTTCTCGTAACCTTGGTTGTACCTAAAATTCATTCTTAAATTTAAAAGAACATGAATTTCTGCTGGACATATAAGGGTAGACAATTTCATTCCCATATATCAAACTCAGCAGTCAAAGTGCTGGCAAAGACTCAACTCTTCTTGCAACCATGTGCAAAGTAGTAAGACCGCATCTCTAAATACCAAAAAAAAATTATTAATTAAATATTTTTTCAAAATTTGGAGGATGTTAATAAGGGCCAGATTTCTAAGGTCAGTCACTGGACAATAAGAAACAACAAATATATCTTGAAATCTTTGGTGTCCAAAAGAAACTCCTTCCCATGTTATTTTAGTTGTGATGCCCAACATATTTCCAAACCTTCAATACTAGGGTTCTAACTACAGATCTTACCTCATACATGATTAGGAGAGCTGATCAGTAGACATAGAAAAATATTTTATCAATGACTAAGTTTCCCTCCTTTCTATAGGCCTGTGAACTTTTTCCTACTGTCAGACCTACCAAGCAGACAATCCTCCAGTGCTGTCACAGTAGGTCAAGCTAACCTCAGAAGTCCTTTACTATGCTGCCTGCTGATTGGGCCTCCCTCCCTATTCCCCTGCTCTCTCATTTCCTTTCCATCATGTTGGCACATGTTATTAAAACTTTTGTCCTTAATTCTTTAATATTCATGCTTATCCTGACCATGTGAAGATACCTCTACTTCAGTAAAATAGTCCATCTTGTTGTTCAAATTTCTTTTTGAGACAAGGACTCATGATGTAATTCAGGATGCCATGTCCTGGAACTCACTTCAGGCCCCAGGCTTGTCTTAAACTTGCAAGGATTCTCCTGTATCAGCCTTCTGAGTGCTAGGATTAAGCCATGTGCCACCACACCCCACTCGCTGCTTCAAATTTCAGGTTAAATTAAAACACAACCCAAATGTAACAAATTTTTGCAGTTTTGAAACCTACTTCCATTTCCAATCTCATATTTATCAGATCTCTACATCCCTGTAGACACCAGTTTGCTGTTTTTCTCAGTGTGGGATTAGCAGGCAGCACCTACAAGAAGTTGTTCTCAGCAAGAAATTTCCACTCAGGAAGTAATGCATCACCATCCCCCAAATACCTCACAACATTCTAAACTTTAAGAAAACCCTTGCTTCAGTAGTTCAATTGTAAAAAAGTATTTATCTACTTAGCTTATAAATAAGACACTCACTAAAGAAATGGCCTGAGGTAAAGTTGCAAAATTAGTGGCTCGGATAAGAATTAAAATCAGAATAGACCATGACCTAGGACTTTGAACTTCACAATAAATTGCAGATTCTAGTCTACCAGAGTGACTTGCAGGTGCTAATTACTAAACTCTTGAGGTAACAGAAAGGTAAACACAAAGATCCAGTTTATCTCTAAAACCTGTTTCCTATAGACCCCCCAAGCTAAAGAAAAGTATTGGAGAACCTCAGCTTAAAGTATTTCTTTTTCTGGGTGCAGTGACTCAGGACTGTAATCTCCTCACACTGGAGACAGATGGAGGAGGATGGCCTGGAGATCATGGGCTGGCCAGACTACAGAGATACACTCTGTATCCAAACAATAAATAATAAAACATAAAAGAAAAAGAAAAGGAAACAAAGTTGGAGATCTATTTTAAATCCATAGAGCCAGGTGTACCCTCATGGCTATCTATCCATGTGTGAAACATTCCTGAAGTCAAGGAGCTTTCTTATTTTTATTTTGGTTTCAGAACTCATAACACACAGTGTCATGAGATTATGAGTTCAATTCATGCCATAACATCACTGTGAGTCAAAGTCTCACATAAGGAATTCAAATGATAGTGTTTTATCATTTTGAGGCCAGAATTCAGGTTTGCCTCCAAAGCACTCCACTCCTTAAACACAGCTGTGCCTGAGGCTGTGCAAAGGACACTCTGGGTGTACAGGGGTTCTGCCCAATACCACCCAGATCTGCCAAAATGCCATCCCACTCCCAGATTCAATACTATCAAGTTACCATTGCAATGCTTGAAGATTTCCAAGGATCATTTCCAGTCTTCAGTAAGAAGAAGCCACAGAAATTTGACATGAGCTCAGCTCCAGGCACTCAGCACTGAACTCCCAGTGAGCACTTCTCCAAGAGGGATGGGAAGAGCCCTCCTCCCTTGGCCCACTTCATTGACCCCCCTCCCTTGGCCCACCATTATCAATGATTGGCTCCTGGGCCCACCTCTTTTCTGTGCTGTCACACTCACCTGCCAGTACTTTACTTTATCTTGGCTTTTAAGTGCTGTCCTGGGTTTCCTTAAAGGTACAGTGCCTTCTCCTGAAGCTCTGTTCCAAATGTGACCAGATGAATGTCCTGTGGAAGAAACAATCCCTTGAGGACAGAAAAATTTATTTCGTGATCTCAGACTGGGACAAATTGGAATAGGTAGGGGCTGCTCTTAGGAATGTGTTCATAAGTTTTATTGCCCAGATTTTCATAGGTTCTCTCTCAGTCTGCTCATTTGCATTAAACTAGTTTTTAGGCCATCTACCAAGAGAAGTCCATTACAGCATGAATGAAGAAACTACACGTTAACTGTAACAGATTTCTGAGAAAAAGTAAAGATAAAGGAAAATCAAACAGTCCAACTACTTCAGAAAAGGTTTATACTGTATGCAGTGTCATAAATCATACCTAAGTTTTGAAGAGAATCCTAGCCAAGCATAATGCTCACTATTAATGCTGAAAGAGAGTACTGCACTTGACTCACTACATCACTTCCTGGTATTGAGTGTGAGATTAAAAAAAAAACACTTTAGACTGTGTTATGGATTAAGAACTGGTGGTCAGTTTAACACCAGATGGATTACATCAGCATGGCATTTAGTGAAGATGCTCCACCTGAGGAAAGTTACCAGGATAAATAGGTTAAGAAAAAGGGAGGTGCTAAGGTATTAGGGCCTAATTGCATTGAGGTGTATTGTGTTCCTCTATGAGTTGCTGTTTGAGCTGTTGGTTCTGCTGGAGAAGATTTGGTCAGCACATCAAGCATTGCTTCCTTCAGTAAGAAGGAAGCACTTCCTTACTGAAGAGGGGAAGACATGTGCCATGTGGTCTCCAGGATGAAATCATCATGCTGGCTCCTGGCATGTACCAGACTGTGCTTGTTGTTGGAGGAGTTCAGGGCCTCCGTGTTGCTGAGGATGGCTGTGGTGCCTTTCAGGACTGCCCTGGTCTTTGTTGTGAGTGTGACTTCTTGGATCCAGAATAGAACTCTTATCCCACTACCACAGTTGTTCATTCTGCTGGCATGGACTTTCTGGCTTTTGCCGCTGATTCTTGGGTCTTTCTGGCATGGATCCCTAAAAGAGACTAATGTGAGTCCTTCTTGTTGGCTCTGGACCTCCGGTTGGACTCCTGGGAGGCACTGTCCTGAGTTCTGGGTTTTTATGTGGACTCATGTAGGACATTGCTTTTAGATTTAGGCCCTTGACTAAATATTCTATGTTTTTGGTGTTGCAGATAGATTTCCTGCGTTTTCCTGTGTTAATTCCTGGTGACCACTACAAAAATAATATTATAAACTCCATGTCCTGATTCTTATTCTTCCAGTGTACAACCCCTAACTACAACAGACTGTAAGTGAAAACATTTTTTGCAAGTATGTATATATTTTACTCTAGAATCATTATATTTTTGCATTAACCTGTTGCCTTATTGTTTATGACTTCATATGCAAGATTGCTTTTAGCCAATCTATATATTTTAGATCTAAAATATAGAAAGTATAAAAGAAAACCTAATGAAGCTGAAGTAGGCATTTGCAGGCAGGAAATGGTACCTGAGTTGGGACCATAGATCATGGCACAAGTTCCGGGGAAAGGTTTATTTGTCCCTTTAATCCATGCTGCCAGAAACAAAGGCCCTCAATTATGTGGCCACTACCTTCTCACAGGTAGCTGTCTGACTGTCATTTCTCTTCCTTCTTCCAAACTAAGTGTTTTTGTTTTCCATTTCAATCTTGCTGTCTTTAAGCCCTTATTTTTATGACTGTTACCTCCCTTATTTACTATAGTGCACTAGTAGTGTGTGCACACCCACCTGTGCCTAGGGAAGATAGAAAACCATTTCTCTTCTTTTCCATGCATTCCACTTACGAACAGCCAAAAAATCTTGTCTTTTCTTTTTTACTTTTTAGTAAAAGAAAAAAAAATCTCTCCTAAGTTTCTGTTTTTGTCCACAGCTACATTCCTTGTGATTTTGAGTCCCTGAGCACAGTTTGTACCAAATTAACAGGTTGAATAATTTTCTCCTTAATGATTACTGGTTGGCTATTCATAATAGCCTGGCTCTCGACCTAATAACAGTGCCTCTTGAATAATATACTTTTTGTAAGTATGCTGATGAAGTTTTTAATTACTAATCATATATCTAACTAGAATTACTGTAAGGGGTTTGTCTGACATAAACTGGATAAAATTCTGCTTCTAAGCATCAAGCTTCTGATGTATTTGAGGCCCTAATTCGCTCCTTAGAAAAAATTGAGAAACTGACACTAGCAGGTTCCATATGAAATTCCTGCATATGTCTGTGACAACCTTCACAGTGCACAGGTACTTTATTGGTCTTAATATTCAATAAATTGTTACCCACGTGTTTTGGACTCCTGAGTGTTTTTGTACTTACAAGAAGGGATGGTAACTGAAGACTTATCATTCTGCATTTGTGTTACTGAACTTTCTATCACTATGATAAAATGTCTGAAAAATCCAGATATTAGAAATGGAAATTTACTCGAGGTGCATTTTATCTCATACTTTCTGAAGATCAGAGCATGTTTCAAATATGAGACAGAGCACAGGAGCTCACCTCATGTTGGCAAACCTGTAGAGTAAGAAATGTTGTACCTACATCAAAGGAGGCACTGTTCATGGGCAATATTTGTGTGTGTCTGTGAGTCAATGATCATGTCCCTATCTGTTTATGTCTGTGTCTGTGTCTGTGTCTGTGTCTCTGACTGTGTCTCTATCTCTGTCTGCATCTCTGTCTGTGTCTCTGTCTTTGTCTGTGTGTCTGTGGGCACACAGGGATTCAACAATCCCAAATGAGTACCTGTTCTTTCTCTGCACAGCTCATGACCTGTGTCACTGTGCAGCTCAGGCTCTCAGTGCCCTAAAGCTCAGTTTTCTGTCTCCACATGATTGTTCTATCTTAGTGCACACAGATCTTACTCCCTGTGTCTCTCACACAGTGATGCTCAGCAGTGCCCTCATGGTCACACAGGGAGACTGCTGCAAAACAGGCTCTTGGAGTTGTCTTTGGAGTCAAATGCATTATACTGAAATAAAGCCTGTAGTAAGCATAACATCCAGAATCAGTTTGAACAAATCATTCCAACGCTAGAAATTCCTCAGGAGTAACAAGTAGAAGGCAACATACAGTGATAACTAACATTGTTATAGGAAAGTCTAAAAGAAAATTATTGACTAGGGACACATTGTACTGCTTTCTTCCAACTAAGTTGAGCACTCAAAGATGGGACACTTGACACATCCTACATCCAGCTCAGAAAACACTATGTCCAGCTCCATCCTGATCCTGATATATCCTTTATCTGTCACTAACCACTCGTATTCCTCAGGCAATCACCAGGATTGGCATTTTAATTTAGTGAAGGCCCTTAGTCTGATGGCAGTATCTCCTTGAGAAGGAAATGGCCCCTGCAGGGGCTTTTCACCTGCCTTTCCTGATATTCTCCCTGTGTCCATTTTCCCTGGACAGGTGTCTTTCATCTGGGACACAAGGATAACCAAAATAAAAGGTATTTTTACAGGTCCCTGTTGCTTCTTTGGCTCTGAGCCATCCTGTTTCACATCCGGTATTCTCAAGGCCTGTCTTCACGATACTGCAGTCCCTTTGACGTGGAAATTCAAAACAAGGATGTAAAGTTGTAAAGGCCTTTAAATTCCAACACAGTTTTCCTACAGTCTGCACTGGGTCCTGAAGATATATCATTCATCTATGCAGAAAATAACTCCTCTGGCCCAGGTAACTGCTGGTGTTGCCAAAAGAAAATAAGGACATCTGTGGATAAAGGAGTGCCTTATTCCTGCAGATTGTCCTTGCCAGGGCCCCCTCTAGAAGAAAGATAACTAAAGGATTTCAGTCTTTACAATCTTTTAATTTTAAATCATGCACGGGCCTAAGTACTTGAACAGTTCCATTCTTTGAAAAGTTTCCCTTTACTGAAGTGCAGGGCAGGTCCCCTGTTAAATTCCCTTCTGCTCTCCCTATCACAGGCAGGGACCTGTATTGCTCTTATGAATGTATTAGCATTTCTCCTACACATGGAAAATGGTGAAAGAGTATCACCACCTTTTTCCACTGACCCTGGTGGTGTGGTTTCTGGGTCAACAAATGGAGGTAACAGTTACCTGTTGAGAGAGTTTTTCTCCATCTATGAGACTTATATTCTACAGGACACTTTCTAGCCAGGAAGGACACAATGCTTCTGCGATTGTTTCTAGATTCTAAGATTCTTTTTTTAATAAAAAAGTTAAAAGAAAGAAGGAGATTAAAATAAAAGAGGACATAACAACATAGTAACACACATCAGAACAGAACAATTTAAGGAACATAGTGTTTGACCACAAGATAACCCGACATAAAAGTAGCTACCACAGTGTATCATTCCTTGAAATATTTTAGTATATCTTCATATATTACAGCATCAAACACAACATGACAGTGTAAAACCATTCAAGAGAATGAAAGTATTACAGGGTATTTAGAACCAACTAACAGAAAATGAATGATGGTTTCTATATTATCTCTGTGTCTATAAAATTTTTTTATAGTATCAGATACAGTAAAATCCAAAAAGTTAAAACATGATTAACTGATGGAGACAGAAGAACAAAACTTCATGGGATTTCAAAACAAGATGATATCAAATCAACACTAGCTATCAGTTCAGGAGAGTTCCTCTTTCCCTACAGCCTCTCCAGTATTTATTGCTGGTAGTTTTCTTAATCTTGGCAATTCTTTTAGGAGTGAGATGGAATCTCAATATGGTTTTAACTTGCATTTCTCTAATTAGTAATGATGAGGAACATTTTTTCACATATTTATTTGCCTTTTCTATTTCTTCATCTGAGAAGTGTGTATTCATCT